TGTGTGTGTGTGTGTCTGTCTGTGTGTGTGTGTGTGTGTGTGTCAAAAAAAGAACCGCTTTGGAAGCTGAAGGCTGAGCTGTATGATCTGGCCATCACGGACCTGGACCCTCTACTCTCAACCATGCAAGGCATGGGGTTGCAGGGCAGAACTCATGGAGTGCCTGTCAGCGGTGGAGGATATCGTGGGAAGGTAGCTGGGTCGCCGCGCAGCGGTGGACTTACGTTTTCGGCCGTCTATGACGGCCCTTCGCGTGTCGCAGCTCGTTCGCCGCCATTGGAGAGTCCTTGCCCATCTTGACGGCAGCCCTGTGAAGGTTTGGGTCCCCCTCTCCCAAGAGAGATGTCCCGTAAGCGTAAGCGGCAGGACGGCGGGGATTCCAAGGCTAAGGGTCGACCCTGCGCGACCCGCCACGGTGCGCGACGCGCGTGGTTACTGCCGGGGCATGACCCGCGGCCAGACAAGGACAGGCCATGTGCCTGTCCTGCAAGGGTCGTTGCAGAGGGTGCGGGGGTGTTCATGGGGCGGGGGTCGGTTGGCGTTTTTTTTTGTTGCGCACCGTTTCTCTCGCCTGGCCCTTCTCTCGCCCTCCTCTCTTCTCTTCGTTTCTTCTCTCTCCCATGATTGCTGTTTTTGGTAGATGCGGGGTCCGGTGATCTGCGTTCCACTGGTGAAGCCACGGTGTAGAAGAAGAATTCGTTTGGTTTCTACCACTACTGGTGTTTTGCTTAGTCACAGAGTTCGACGACGATGGCAAGAAAATGGGGCAACAGTTTTCCACAGTTCCAGATGCTCGGCTCGGTCGCTAGTTTTTGGCGACCAAACCTACTTGATGACCTCCGTCTTTACCGACGGGAAACCTCGCTAGGAGAAGAGCTGCACGTGCGGAAGCAGCCACGTTCCGTGAGTCATGCCTCAAACGCCTTCTGGCACAGAAGCCTTGGAGCTCTGGGCTGGTGATTGGAATGCACACGTGGCAGCTGATGAGCCCGGCGTGCCCGATTTAGCAGGCGACAGAGGTTTGGCGACACCAACCACGGATGGAGGTCGCGTTCAGCGGCATTGCAGACAACAATGGTCGACGCGCGTGGTATGAACTAGACTTCTTCGTTGGCTCGCCCAGTTTGACACGAAGCGTACAGCATATCACAGCAGCTGCCGCTGCGATTATTTGGCCAAGATCACGACGATTCATGCTTTCAACCTGGAGCTCATCCACCGCACAAGGAACCCCGCATCGCCCACTTCTGGGGACTCTGGATGGAGGAAATCTTGCGCCCGCTTTACAGGGCACATCGCATTCAATTAACGTGGCGGCGAAAAGCAGATTTTCAGGTTGAGGCCCAATGACACAAATCTTGCACCGCTCCCGTTCTGACAATCACCAATTTTAAGGAGGGGTTGGCGTCAGACGGTGTGCGTGGAGCAGATCAAGAGGGCGGTGCAAGATTTCTTCCGCCCACCGACTCAACAGAATCAGTTGCCACAGGCGGGCCTTGCAGAAGCGGTGCAAGATTTCCTCCATCCAAAGTACCTCTGCGTCTCATGCTTACCAACAGCATGAGCAGCCACAACATGAGATCCCTGCAGGTTCTAGAGATAGAGCAGGGACTGGGATAGGTTAGATCCGTGTCACAGGTGAGTGCCTTATGACTTACGAGACAGAAGCCACATGCAGCAGCGTCAGCAGCCGGAGTTGACTCAAAGAGATGCTGGAGCAAGTGACACACGCGCAGGCTATCCAAAGGCCACCCCGGCAAGCGTCGCGATACGTTGTTGTTGGTCCTGAACATGAGTGAATGTGGCTGTTGAAGCATCCTCCTCTCACGGACTGCGCGTGTTCTCTTAAGCGACAGCTTCCTTTCATCAAGGGGGAAACAAGCATCCCGATTCGCGATGCGTCCAAGCTTAATCTCTCCCGGGCATTGCAGAGTTTTGGGCCAGTTTCGAGCGGGTGGAGGGTTAACAGAGATTTTGTTAGGTTCACAGAGGTTCACGAGGTCCGGTGAGTGGGTGCCAGGTTTACAGGGTTGAGGAGCACTTTCAGGGTGTCATTGGTTTGTTGTGTTCTGTTCTGGTTGCGTGTTTGGTCATGAGGCCGTCAGCTTGACGGCGTTCCAAGGTCGTGATGAGAAGAGCCTTGGAGTCCCGTGTGTTTTTCAAAGACCCTCTATTCACAATGTTCAACGAGCTGTGTGGCTGGGTAAGGTCCTGCCAAGGGGAACATCGGGGAATTGTAGGGCAGGCAGTGCAAGAGGCTCTTTCCATAGGACTCTTTGTTGCAATCTATCGTCAAAACACGACAGAAGCGATACTTTGTCAAGTGCTGAAAAAAATCATGGTGACTTTGCACAGGAATGCACTCCTGTCGACACCGTTCTTTCTTTTTTTATTTAAATTTCGGGCTTGCTGGAACCGGGGGAGAGGTCCTTGTAGAATTATGTGCAGATATGCGTTGGAACTGTAGCAAAATCTTGCACGAGGCGATGCTGGCCACAATGGGCTACATTACGCCGGAGTTGCCCGGATGCAGCAGTTCCGCTTCAGACATTTTTAGTATAATGTTAGTTTCCTTCGTTTTTCAAATGTCTACTTCCGTTTTCGCGAACTGCCGAAATTGCTTTGAAGTATTCAGGTCCCTTCCGTTGGTTCTCTTCCTTGTCAAGTGTATCTGCTATCTCAGGCTATCTCCTCAATCGCTACATTCTACTGATGCTCTATGCGTTTAAGATGTTCATTAAAGCGTTGTTTACCATCTAACCCCGGACCGGATATTCCACAAACATCGCGCTATGTGTACCAATCTAGCTGACAACATAATGGGATCTGTTTGAGTGCTTGTCTTTCAAGGGGATACGTTTGTGACGACTTTCGTGCTTGTTCCTTCTTGTAGATGGTGCTTGTTGAGTTGCACGGCTCTTCTGACCGTCGTAACTACATGTTCTTCTTCGCTTGACTAATGTCGACCTTTTTGTGACTGGTGTAGTGGGGAGCAGCTGGGTAGCCTCACCTGTTACAACGAACGCCTTGTCCCGGTCTATTGTTGGGTATTTTCTTGTTTGCTTCCTTTTCAATCTGAGTCCACCTTAACTTTAACTGCGCTGCTTACTGTACTTCTTCAAAAAGTCGTTGTAATATTAATATTACTGTCCATGCCCCTCGAGATTTAAATGCCCTGTCGAAAACTGTTTTCTGAGTCGCCCTAGTCGCTATTGATCTCTCCGTTGCTTTCCTTAAAGCATACCAGGATGGAGAATGATTCCAGTTCGTATTCCTGGTTCGTGACATATACTCTCCAGACCTCAACCCCCGAATTCCCAGCACAAACCCTCCCATTTTACCCCGCAGACACCCCAAACCACAACCCAAGCTTCAGTGGACTGGAAACGGGCGTTTGTGCACCATGCTGCAAGTGAACACACATTTCTTTCGCCGCCCCCCCCCGCCCCTCCCCCCCCAATCACCCTCGCAACCCCTCCCCTTCCCGCTTACAGCCCATTTGGTACCTGTTATTCGGTGGGGCGGCTGGTGTTCCAATGCGTGTGGTTTCCGTTGTGGGTCTGGCTTTTCTTTGTTCTTGTCATGATTTCCCTGCTGTGTAGGTCAGCCGGTTAGGGGTCTGAAACAGCAGCAAGTGCCTGGTTGAGGATCACGGGCAAGTTCCCGGGCTACTTGAGCCCATCTGCTGGATTGAAGTTCGCGGATGTGCCCAATGGCTTGGCGGCGATCTCCAAGGCGCAGCCAAAAGGGATAGGGCTTTTCAGGGATTGCAGGGGGCTGGACTGACTACAGGGCTTTCCGATCGACACAGTTCTGTTGGGGCAGTGGCGGCTTGGAAGGGGTGCCTTGGGTCACCTGAACACCCCGCGAGGCCAAAAGCCGGAAGCCAGGCAGAACTTCAAAGGGCCCCAAGATCCCGCAAGCCCCCATGAAGACTCGCTGAAGCCGAAGAGGTCCCACAGGCCGGCTGGGGCCAGATCCTTCTGTACATGGCCTACTGCGAGGCCAGGGGCTATTGGGACCGTAGCACGAATTGAATCCCTGTGGCCCTATGGGTTCAGGGTGGGCCTTTTGGACACTTTGCCTGTGGGCCTCAGATGAGCGGTTGACTGCCAGGCATCCCAGACCCAGGAGCCGGGCACCGCGGCCTACGCGGGAGACTTCGGCTTCAAGGTGCTCACTTCCAGCGACCCAGCCGAGAAGACCAAGAAGCTGAGCCTGGGTTGTGATAAGAAAAGTTTGGTTTCCGAGCTGTCTCTTTGGCGTAGAAACTTTACCAGACTGTCATCGCCATTGAGGAGCGCGGAGTTGGCAAACGGCCGACTGGCAATGATGGCCATTATCGGCATGCGCTTGAGCTGCATCTGCGTGTTGAAGCTGTTGCATGCTGTTGCCCTTCCTGCATGTTTTTTTGCAAGAGCCGGCAATGCCCTTGCTGATGTAGTCGAGTTGCTTGTTTCTGTCGAGGTTCTTCCAGGATGGTTTGACTGGCAGCGCATGGGGTGACTGGGCCAACTACACCGCCTCCCCGCTGCGCGCCTTCGAGAATGAGCTCGGCGTCCAGGATCCTGTCGGCTTTTGGGATCCCGCCGGCTTCACGGCCGACGGAAGCGTGGAGGACTTCAAGCGCCGCCGCCAGACTGAGATCAAGCACGGCCGCATCGCGATGCTCGCGGCAATGGGATACATTACCCCTGAGCAACTCAGATGCATGCGCGCAATCCTAGGGTACGCAATAGAATTGCTCAATCTGAATTGCAATGTCTATGTTACGTCGACATAGTTGACCAAGGATCACGGGCAAGTTCCCTGGTTATCTGTCCCCATCAGCAGGCTTGAAATTCGCCGATGTCCCCAATGGATTGGCCGCAATTTCCAAGGTTCCCGCCGCAGGCTGGGGACAGATCTTGGCGTACATGGCGTTCTGCGAGGTCTCCCAGGATCAGTCTGCCGGAACTCCGGCCGCAGCCGGTGACTTCGGCTTCAAGGTTTTGACCTCCAGCGACCCTGCTGAGAAGACTAAGAAGTTGTCAGCCGAGTTGGCAAACGGAAGGCTTGCGATGATGGCCATCATTGGCATGTTCTTTCAGGACAAGTCGAAGCGCAAACTTGTCTAGACATTGTTTTAGTTGTTTGTATTCATTTCGGGTGTTTCACGCACATGCCTATCGCAGATGTCTTCGTGTGAGGATGGTTTGACTGGCAGTGCTTGGGGCGACTGGGCCAACTACACCGCCTCTCCGCTGCGCGCCTTCGAGAATGAGCTCGGCGTCCAGGATCCTGTCGGTTTTTGGGATCCAGCCGGTTTCACGGCCGACGGAAGCGTGGAGGACTTCAAGCGCCGCCGCCAGACTGAGATCAAGCACGGCCGCATCGCGATGCTCGCGGCAATGGGATACATTACCCCTGAGCAACTCAGATGCATGCGTGCAATGCAATGTCGCCCAGCCGAGTTGTTCAGTCTCAATTGCAATGTCGATGTTACCTCACATAGTTGACCAAGGATCACGGGCAAGTTCCCTGGTTATCTGTCCCCATCAGCAGGCTTGAAATTCGCCGATGTCCCCAATGGATTGGCCGCAATTTCCAAGGTTCCCGCCGCAGGCTGGGGACAGATCTTGGCGTACATGGCGTTCTGCGAGGTCTCCCAGGATCAGTCTGCCGGAACTCCGGCCGCAGCCGGTGACTTCGGCTTCAAGGTTTTGACCTCCAGCGACCCTGCTGAGAAGACTAAGAAGTTGTCAGCCGAGTTGGCAAATGGAAGGCTTGCGATGATGGCCATCATTGGCATGTTCTTTCAGGACAAGTCGAAGCGCAAACTTGTCTAGACATTGTTTTAGTTGTTTGTATTCATTTCGGGTGTTTCACGCACATGCCTATCGCAGATGTCTTCGTGTGAGGATGGTTTGACAGGCAGTGCTTGGGGCGACTGGGCCAACTACACCGCCTCTCCGCTGCGCGCCTTCGAGAATGAGCTCGGCGTCCAGGATCCTGTCGGTTTTTGGGATCCCGCCGGTTTCACGGCCGACGGAAGCGTGGAGGACTTCAAGCGTCGCCGCCAGACTGAGATCAAGCACGGCCGCATCGCGATGCTCGCGGCAATGGGATACATTACCCCTGAGCAACTCAGATGCATGCGTGCAATGCAATGTCGCCCAGTCGAGTTGTTCAATCTCAATTGCAATGTCGATGTTACCTCACATAGTTGACCAAGGATCACGGGCAAGTTCCCTGGTTATCTGTCCCCATCAGCAGGCTTGAAATTCGCCGATGTCCCCAATGGATTGGCCGCAATTTCCAAGGTTCCCGCCGCAGGCTGGGGTCAGATCTTGGCGTACATGGCATTCTGCGAGGTCTCCCAGGATCAGTCTGCCGGAACTCCTGCCGCAGCCGGTGACTTCGGCTTCAAGGTCTTGACTTCCAGCGACCCCGCAGAGAAGACTAAGAAGTTGTCGGCGGAGTTGGCCAACGGAAGGCTTGCGATGATGGCCATCATCGGCATGTTCTTTCAGGACAATTCACAGCATTCATTTGTCAAAGCATTGTGTCAGCTGTCGCGTTCAATTGCCTAAGAAAATTTGATCGTGTGAAGGATGGCTTGACCGGCAGTGCATGGGGTGACTGGGCCAACTACACCGCCTCCCCGCTGCGTGCCTTCGAGAGCGAGCTCGGTGTTCAGGATCCGGTCGGCTTTTGGGATCCTGTCGGCTTCACATCGGACGGTGATGTTTCTTCATTCAAGCGCCGCCGTTCCGTTGAGCTCAAGCACGGCCGCATCTCGATGATGGCTGCCATGGGCCACCTCCATTGCATTTACTGATCCCGCGGGCATTCCATGCCAAATATCACCAGTGTTGTGCGATGATGTAACGTCTCCCTGATGAAGCACCATTCGCTGCTAAGGCTACATCACTCCAGAGGTCACGGGAAAACTGTCCCGTCCTCACACGAAAGCAGAGGGTCACAGTTTGTGTTTGACGCATGTTGCGCGGTTACATGTTGCTTGCCTCCAAGGCCGGGATTTCTGTCCCCATCAGCGGGCTTGAAGTTTGCCGACGTTCCCAACGGCCTTGCGGCAATTTCCAAGGTTCCCGTGGGAGGTTGGGCCCAGATTGCCGCTTATTTCGGCTTCGTTGAGTTCAGCGGCGGCTTCGATGATTACAAGACGGGCACTCCTGGCGATTATGGCTTCAAGGTGCTGACATCCTCGGACCCTGATGAGAAGACTAAGAAGTTGTCAGCGGAGTTGGCCAACGGAAGGCTTGCGATGATGGCCACCATGGGCATGTTCTTTCAGGACGGTGCGTTGCCAATGCGCTTTTTTGGCTTTGGGTGTTTTGGTGTGGGAAAATGTTCACAATGTTCACGGTACCTCGGGTGCCCCAAGGTAGTTCTAGTAGTTTGAGGTTTGCACGCATGTTCGCTGGTAATTATGTGATTTGCCGGCACCGCTGTGATGGGGGGGTCGGTTCCGGAAGTGATTTTGCTAAGCTATGTTAAGCTTATTAGGGCGACAACCTTCTGATAGTGTTTTGGAAATCTGGTGCTGTGCTTGGCATAGCCGAAGATCGGCTCCCACGAATCAGGCAGGTGAATGTCTTACCCATGACCTACATAGCAGTTGCAAGGGCGTAAAAGTTGGCAGTCATTTTGTGCTCATTCGTTTCGATCTCAACAAATTCCAGGGTGTACAAGAAGCCATCTGCAAGTAAGCAAATCGAAAACAAAGGACGTCAAACATCGCCTTTGTTCCTTCGCGCAGCTCCCTTTGTGGGAGCCTGTATATATTTCGGCATTATGATGTTTATCTTTACGTGAGCACGAAACTCCACGTACCCGACACTATTGCTTCCGGAGCTGCACTGAGCCCCGTATGTAGGTTTTCGCTTGTCACGCGTGTCACAGGACGGTTTGACCGGCAGCGCCTGGGGCGACTGGGCCGCCTACACGGCGTCGCCGCTCCGAGCCGAGCCCGTGTCCGCGGCCGCGGCTGCGGCTGCAGCCAAGGCCGCAGCAGCCAAGGCCGGCGCGAGCGCGGGAGCGAAGACCGCCGCGGCCACCACGGGCATCGGTGCCGGCACCGGCAAGTCCCTGAGCGGTGAGGGCGAGGAGGTCCCCCCTGAGCCCACTTTCGACCCGGCCACCGAGGTGGGCGTGACCGAGCCCTTCGGATACTTCGACCCGGCTGGCTTCTGCAAGAAGGGCGACAAGGCCGGCTTCCGCAACTTGCGAGCGGCCGAGATTAAGCATGGCAGGGTTGCGATGATGGCCGCGGTGGGTGCCGTCGTTCAGCACTACGTGAAGTTCCCGGGCTTCGACAGCGTGCCTGCCGGACTCGGCGCCGTGGAGGTCCCGCCGGGCACCTATGGCTTCGCGGCGCTCTTCGCGGTCTCGGGCTTGCTGGAGCTGGGCGCCTGGACTGAGGACCCCTCCAAGGAGCCGGGCAACTTCGGCGACCCCGCGGGCCTGGGCCAGTACACGCTGGAGATGCGCAACCGCGAGATCAACAACGGCCGCATGGCCATGTTCGCAGCCATCGGCATCATCGCCGCCAACGTCTACACGGGCAAGGACGCCATCGAGCAGTTCGGCCTTGCGTGAGCGGTTAACTTAAATCCGATGGAAGTCGATTCAAGCCCTGGCGCAAGAGCGCAACTAGCAGCCCACTTGCCTTGGTAACCCAGCCTCTGGGTGTATTTTAACTTTCTTGACGTGGTTGTCCTCGCGACGCCTGCGGCCGAAACCCAAGTCCCCCAAACACGAGCCATTGACCCCCCACCTGACCCGCTGTGGCCAGTGTACAGAGCACAGGCTCGGAAAAGAAGGGGTGAGCTGAGCAGCCTTTGCCGTCCCAAAGCTCGGATAAAGAACCCAAGCCCTCGGACCCCTCAGTTCCCAGCACCCTCAGAGGGCCGTTGAGCCGTTGAGCAGACAAAGTGCTCGGGAGTCTTAGTAGAAGGCAGAAGCTTGTGGGAGCTCATCACACTATGGGAACCTCCTCGATCCGCAGGCTGAGGCTGTTTGCAGATACTGAGGTTTTAGTTTTCCACTCAGTCGCTGCAATGCCCTCCAGCCGGGGGCCCCAACAAAAAGGCCGCAGCACTGGCTGTGCACTGGCCGCACAATTCCAGCAGAGGGCTGGGGATGCTGGGGCTTTGGGGTCAGTTTGGAAGCTGTCGGAAGGCATCGACGGCAAACTTGGGGCTTTCTTACGTGGTTGTGCTTGTCGCCTTCGAAACGACTTCCTGAAGAGTTCCAACTCTTGTCTTGGTGAAGCTCAACATCTGTTTTGTTGCATGGGATGGTGTGGGCAGCTTGCTACTTGACGCGCAAGGCGGGCGAATTCTCTAGCCAAGATCTGGCCACGACCTGGTGAGCACAGTCAGATTACTGGATGTTTGAGGGTCAGCGAGGTTTTGGGGTCTGGACCTTGTTGACCTCAAACCACGATGAAGTCCGCTGACTTCACGTTACTGTTTCTTCCGCCTTCTCCATGTATGAACCCCGACTGCGATGCGTCCTGACCTCCAGACCCCCAAGGCCCCGAACTCTCGAAGTCTAAGCCCTCCATGCTTTACAGCCCTCGGACTCAAGACTGAACTTTCTCTGAGCCTTGAAAAACAAACCTAGAACTTCCCCCCATAAAAAATTCCCGATGTCAGAGATTCAGAGCCCCACCGGCGAAGGTCAGAAGACTGCCATGGCTGTCGCAGGCGCGGCAGCGTTGGCCTCCACGGCCTCTCGGCGCGAGCACTGCGGTTTGGGCGAGAGGAGTTTTAAGGCGTTGAGGGTTTTGGGAAGCAGAGCCGATGAGGAGCACATGGTGAAACCGTTCTCGAGGGTTTTTGTGGCTTTTTGAAGTGAAAGGGCTTCTGATTCTGTTCGAAACCTGTCGAGGCCTTCGTGCAGAGCAGTCCAGCCGGTCAGGCCCAGGGCGGGTCCTGTCGACAGAAGTGGGCAGAAGCCGGGTCTAAAGCGCTTGTTCGTGGTTTTCGTTTGCGGAGAGTCAGGACTTCTGGCAATTCCATAATATGATATGATAAACATCAGTTATGAATCGACAGAATCCCTTAACCGCAAGACTCGAGGGGAGGCTTTGGAGTGTAGGCAGTGTAGGCCCCGGCCCTGTAGGCACTATATGGCAGTGTAGGCGCGACCAGAGGGAAATTCAGAAGTCCAGGCTATGGGGTTTGCAACGAGCGACAGGTAGGACATGTATGAACCAAAGGTTCGAATTCTGAAAAGAATCCTTTCGAGGGGACCTTGACCCTCTCCGAAGCATAAGCTCCGAAGCTCAATCGCCTTTATCCTCGAAGCATTCGTTTCGCGCATAACGAACAGTGGACGATCAGCAGGGTGCAGCGCCTGGCGGACAAGAGTCTTGGGGCTTGTTTTGGGCATCAGGTGTTGACGGTGTTCGGAGCTCACGGGCTAGGTTTTGGGGTTTAGGATGTTCAGAAATCCGGAGATTTTCAGGGTTGCGCCAAGTATCACCCCTGCCCGGACCGCAACCCTAAACATCCGCGAGAGAGTGCGAATGAAGGCTGCCCCAGACAGAAGCAGCGTTCAGCTGCGTGGCCGAGTAGCGGCACAGACGAGCGCCAAAGGCGCAGCCAGCTCGTGCTGTCCGTGCCGTGCTCTCACTCTCTAGCATGACTAGTCCTGGGATGTTCTCTGTGCCTTAAGTAGCATGTAGCGGCTGATGCTGTTGCAGCAACGTGACTTGCAGGTCTCTCTCTCTCTCTGTGAAGCAAGTGAGATAGCTATGGTTCTGGCCAGCGAAGTGAGGGAAACCTCTGAAGAACTCCAAAGAACTGCAAGGTACTCCAACAGGAGTGAGCAAAAAAACGACAGCGTTGCATTACACATCTTATCTTCTCCCTGTTGTTCTCGTGTGGGCGAGACAACAGGACAGCCCTCAAAGGCATGTGTAGCTTGCAAGGCCCTTCATATTGGGGCCTACGGAATAGGGACGGAAGAGTGCAAGAAGGGTCTGGGGCTGAGGTCTTAGGACCCCAGACCCGACATGAATGTTTGCCCCGTACCAAAATCAATGGATAAAACAGCCCAGGAGTATGACTCATTAGGCTGTGCACAGCTCCGAGCATGCTCGTGGCATCA